CCCCAAAACCCCAAAACCCCAAAACCCCAAAACCCCGAGGTAAGTGAGTTTGGTTGAATGGGAGGAAGATTAGGTGTGGAGGGAGGGATTTTGGGGGTTGGGGAGCTGGGAGGAATGGTAGCTGTTCTAGAGATTAGAGGGAGGGTACTTGGCTTAGTTTGAGGTGGGATTTGGACTCTTCTTTGGAGAAATTGCTGAGGATTGTGGGCGGTTTTGGGGGTTTAGTGGTGATTTTGGGTTTTGATGGCTTGAGTTTTTTGTAGAGAATGATGATTAAGTTGATGAAGTTTATGATGGAGTTTAGAAATGGGCTTGAGAGCAATATAAATATGAAGATGTCTTCTTTTGATTCTGTCCAGCTTGGCTCAGATCACATAAACAAAAGTGGTACTATCGCTCATATATAAAATATTTGATTGATTCCTTCAACTATGTTGTTTGTGAAGTCCTCAAATGGCCTCACCCAAATCATGTACACTCAGAATGCAAGCTGAGTTGAGAAGAATATACTCCACTCGATGTAGTATGTGTTCAACGATGAGTCACCAAATGATTTATCTCTGGGCTGATCAGGACTTGACAGAAGCACAAGTACCAAAACATACGACAGTCTTACGACCAGAAATACTAGTGAGTACATCTTGGCCCATTTAGTGTTCTTGAGACCTGATCCCAACTCAGTGATTGACCAGTGGTTGTGAAACTCTGACTCATTAGACCTACCACATATAAATGTAATACTTACCATCCTGACAAATACCAAGCTAATGCAAGAATGCTGAATATAATGAGCCCAAATGTGAACATGAATCACATGACCAGAGAAACAATGGTGATGGTCCTGCTTGTGTTGAAGGCTTTGAACTCAGACACGATTGAGAGCATCAGAAACAAGAATCCTTGTATGATCAGTCTGATATAGACGTTGAAGGTCATGAACACAAAGAATTTTTCCATGATCTTATTTGCATTTCGCTAGCTTGCTATTTTTGACAGATAAGTGAACAACTCCAATACCTGCATGAAAGATTGATATCAGGATGGTTACCACCATCATCGGAAGATAGTTGATAATGGAACTGCTTGAGTTCATTCCAATCTGGCTCAAATACTCATCCGACTGAGGATACGACACCAGCTTCTTGATTTCCTTGACCAGAGGAATATCATCAGTTGGGATGAAGTCCAATGATACAAAAGCAAAGTCCATACCCAGAATAAAGTCTCCTACTTTGGCTGGGAAATATGGTGGAAGCATTGGCAACAGAATGTACAGCTGTAACTGATTTATCATGCTGAACATTCCGACTGGTGAACTCATTGACACCACAGAAGAAGCAGCTGCAAGAGCCATGGCCACTCCTGCAGCTGCTTGAGTTGCTGTTGATGCTGCTCCTGCATCTGCTTTAACACACTGTCCTTGCTTGAGGTTGTATCCAAACTTGCATTCTGTTCAGGTCTGAGGAGAGTCAGCCTGGCACTCGTTGCAGTTGTCTAGGCTGCACGACTCCACAGTGATGAACACTCGCTTGGAGTATGTGTCTGAGCCGTATTGAGATTGGATTGCAAACTGGAACAGCTGAGTCCCATTCACAACCGGTGTCTTGTTGAGAGTGAGCACTTCAGTGGCAGCATCGAAGGAGACCCAGCCAGGAATTGAGTGACCATTGAGTTCTTGGACAGAGTGGACGAGCGAAACAGGATCAGCAGAGTTGGTTCAGCTCAAAGCCAGAGTCTGAGTGATGGTGACATCTGAAAGATAAGACTTGTTGAAGTCATCGTTCATTACGTTGATGTAATACTCACCTGTCACCTCTGTGACAATTTCAGTGGCAACAGTAACTCCAGCTGAACTCTGGTCTGTGATGCTTGGAGTTGTAACATTCAAAGTTGGGAGTGGAGCTGCAGGGTCTCTAAGATCAAAAATGGTTGAAATAGGAGTAAATATGGTAGATCTTTGTACCAAGTAATCAACCACTCCAAGATCTTGAGGAGGAACTCTGAGAAATGAATAATCACCTGAAATTACTCCTCCAAATACAAGCAACTCATGCCCATTGAAAGTAATAACTTTTGAAGTGGAGAAATATGCTGTAGGTTGATAATACTCAGAAATTTCATCTAAATCACTGATTAAAATGATAAAACACATAATAAATCCTAATGGTATCCCATGAATCTCTAAAACTCCCTAAAATCCTAAACTTCCTTACCTTTGAAGCTATTTTTCTTCACTAGCGAAATGAAAACTTGTGACCTATCATAGTCTTTAGCTATCAAGATTATGTGTGAATTTAGTTCTTCTAGGTTATATACTTGTGCTGAGGTGGAGAAGAGGATTTTTATACCCGGAGCAGCAGGTTCTCCGGAAGATGCGTCTATTTTGTAGCATAAGATTCTTAAGGAGATGAACACTCATGTGTAGATGAACTGACCGTCTCTGCTGGTCAAAGCTCTTGAGATGGCAAGAGAGCATGACGTGAGTCATTGGATCTGCTTCGACCAATTTAGGGATGATGTATCTGAGTAATTTGCTGATATGAAATAGAGTCTTGAGTCACTTGGGATCATGATATTTATAAATATATTTGAGGAGTCTATTGGAGAGTAATTTATGCGTGTATTTCTTCCATAATCAAAGCAAGCCATATTGGGATTTCCACGAATCCATTTTCATACAGCCCAAACATTTCCAACAGTTTGTTTCACAGTGATGAAAATATTAGACCCAACAGTTTTCACAATAACTTCTTCATTTGCTTGCACAGAAGAGATCAGAAGATATTGACTTATGGTAAAAGTTGAAGTTGAGAACTCCACCACATGCGTGGTGTCTTTTAATAATAAGTACAAGTACTCTCCATCGTCACTGATGTCGTGGTCAAATCGAGTTGGAAGTCCATAAATTGATACCATTCTCTCTAGAGCTAGGTCAAAATCAGTAACTACAACTCCTGTGTATCCATTTACTGAAACATTATTTTTGAAATATGAAATGAAGTATAGTTTTTCCTGGACAGGATTTTTAACCATAGCGTTAAATCCTGTTAGATGCCACATAAGAATTATCATACTTCCTTAAAAATGGAGTTGCAGTGAGTTCTTCGGTGCTGGAACAAATCTTCCCTTGTACAGCTCAAAATATCGCAAACATGATTGCAAAAGTGAATCAACCTTTCATTTTGTTGTGCAAATTAATTTTATCCCAATAATTTCCAAGAATCATGGGGTTTTGGGGTTTTGGGGTTTTGGGGTTTTGGGG